AGTCTTTGTCTATGTACTGTATCCACTAAGCTACCTTCTCGGGCCTTTACGTGATGATGACGAAGGGCCAATAGAGCTATGGAGTCATGGGCTCGATGATCAGTATTGTTTTGGCGATTACATCGCAATAACAAGGTTGTTTAGGACATTTAAGTCCTTCACTCATTGTGCCCCGAGATAATGCCTAGCTTGGCACCTGAACCTTACCAAGTAGGGATCAGACCAAACTATCGCGCCCTCAGACGAAGTCAGTCCTGTTTAACCGTCTGCTTTACTTCGAACAAAAGTGTCGGCTCGATTCCAACAATCCCCGAGCTTTCGATCTGAGTGCATCTGTTGCCTGTGCACCAGTCAATTGCTCCATTGACATCGGTCGCGTATCTTATCCGACGACCAGAGAGACTCCTCAGCCTTGAGTCACGGGTTCTCCTTTCTGTTTCAGCGACAATCCTCATCGCACTAGTCTGATGGTGGCTTGGAGGATCTGAGCTGAAAGATTAATTAATGGCAATGCTACGAATGAGGCTGATGCTCTGCGTATGACCAGATCTTCGGTCATCTGCATCATCAGACGAGGTGCGCGAACATTGAGAACAATTATCTACCTACTGACCCGAGGAAAATCATCAATGATCCTTCCCAGCCGACGGAGATAATTCCGTTTCTTTTTCAAACGGAGCTCTTGACACACTCAGCAAAAACCCACTCAGGTACCCATCGGCCGTGTATTTGCTGTCCATGCGCGTTGGTCTCAGCTGGACTGTCATCAGGATGATGACGATAATCTCGTAAGAGGGCTGAGCAGGATGCTAGCTAAGCTGACTACCTTAGTACGATGGTATCATCGTATATCGGGCTCCCCGAAGACTCCGATATTTCAGCAGTGGAGCACTAATCTATTAGTGATTTGTCTACAGTGTCTTATTGGACAATGCAACCAAAAAAAGCGACCAGACTAGAAACCATCAGCTGTGCCGTCATGATATGACCATGTGCAAAGAGAGCGAAGATCTAGAAGACTCCGAGGCTCTCTGGGCTCGATGGTACCTAGTATTCTAGGCCATTGAGGGCGGAGCTGTGTTGGGGCTTGCTAAGTGCTAGGCGCGCTGAGGGAATTGTGTTATCGCTGCCTCAGACAGTGGTGCGGGGTTACTGTACTTCCTCCTCTGCTGATTGGGCCAGAGCCGTCGCACTAAATCAAACTACTCGTGCACTTATCCACTAACAGGCTGGCTGTGGACTCTGTACTCCCGTCCTCTGCAGCCTTACTCTATTTTCATGGCGTAGCCAGTTGCCCTATTTCCACTTTCAAGTGATCTTATGGGCCCATCCATCAGCCAGTGTTATCATAGTGATGAACATTGTCTGCAGACCCCTCCATGTGGGATGAGATGTGATGTCACACTGGGGGAGGTCTTGTGCTTGTGTACGTATGCGCTGGCACATCTTCTGCTTGATGACAGTCATTGTTTGTTTTCCTCGACACGTCTCGCGTCATGTAAACAAAGGAACAGATCCCTCACTACCGTACCTATTCTCACCGACCCTTGTAGGAGAATTGATTATCTGGTCTTTGAAAAGAGCGACCAACGACCGGCTCGCCAAGTTCAAGCGACTCGCCCTTTCCTTCTTGATTGAGAAGGCCCAATGTGCTATGACATCAGTTACTCCTTCCTTCCTTCCTGCCCCTCTATGACCGGACCTCACTTGCCCAAGACGTACCCCTTCTCCCTTTTACACGTGCTCTCCTAGCCAATTATTCTTCCTCCGTGCTTAAAATATCGAAATTGCTATGATTCGTTGGCGTCAATTAATTAACATACCTACTATCACTTCCAACAGGTTATCTAGTCACTAACTATGCGCAATCCCGTGGCTGCTGGAATGCCTTGACAAGAGATCGGCAGAACTATTGACCAAGACCCGCATTATCTGCCCGCGTTTGTCTTTGGCATTCTGTGCCCGCATTGCCCGCGCCCTGCGCCCAATGCCCATTGTCTTTCCTCAAGCCCTCGAGCAATCTAGTTAATGTGTAACTGTGGAGTGCATTAGCACGTACCCATAGCTCCCTGGCCGACCAACTCTTGAAGCACGTACCTGATCCAAAAACTCCTTATCACATACTATTGACCTTTCTAGGGCGATTCGATCAATAGCCAATATTCCTATCATGCACTGTCCTTCCCATGATGGAGCATTTCGTGCATCAAGGACGCACGTCCAAGAGTGTCTCTGATCTCCACTCGTCCTAGCTGCGAGCCATCCCTATTTGAGATTACAGACTGCATCCCTTGAAAAGTCCCGGTATCTCGACGGCCGTTCTGGACGCCTGGGTTGCAAGGATATTGCATTCCAGGGGCCGTGCCGGTGGATCTGCCGCAGTTCAGGAATGCGAGATCTTCATGCACAATCCTCATTGCGGGAGTCAGATCGTCATGGATATGGCAGATACGCACGGGGTAGATACGGGGTACTGTTACAGAACCCTGACTTGGACCGTTATCACTGAGCGCTTCAAGCTCTTTGGCGATACCACCAATTCTGCGGTGCATGCAGGTTGGTAACTAGCGCTGCCATTGATCAGATGCAGACCGTGCAAAGCACACTTTGTGAACGGTGAGCTGGTTAGGATTAGAATACCCTGGTCAAGGGTCTGACCGAGATGAGGGCCTCATGAACACGGATTCAACCGAACACGTGTGCATTTACCGCCTGATGTTCCTATTTAGGGTTTTCGTCCGAAAATAATCTTCGATTCCTAAGGCTAATGCCTTTGACCCCTGACCTCAATCTTGATGGAAGAATAATCAGCTCGGTTATCGTCGTGAGAATCAATGTTTGTCCCTGTCTGATCGATAATCAGCGCACGCTGATAACAAGAGTGCGACACAGCCGTCCCTTGCATCTTCCGAGTCACGATATCGGAAACACTAGTCTCTCATCCTACCATTGAAAGTCAGGGATGTAGATAAAATCTTGATATCTTGCGCTCTGCCAAATCCTTGATCTCTCACCGCAAGAATAAAGTTACGTACCTTGCAGCAACGCATGGAGAAATGGAAGAGCGAAGTCATGGATTTGTCATGAATTTCTACATCTAGCGTTGATTCCATCCTTGCACTTGAACATCGGCGAAGTCCTCAAGCATTGACAAGCTCATTAGTCAATCCATTGGTATACTCAGCTCCCGGGCCATGTATCTTGCAAGTATCGGCTCTTCTTGTCTCTGAGGATGATTCAGGCCATATCCAAGCGGTGCAATATGCCTTCGCTACAACATGCATGCATTACCTTGATAATCGAGTACGGGGATCGCGTCATCAATCGCTGCCCTTATTCCCTCCTTAGAGCCGGGATACCCGTTGGAATCCACGTCTAGGTTCAGGCCGGACTATGCACATTCCTTGAGCTACCCGTTGCCACGTCAGAACCAAGATTTCCCGCGTGCCTTACCATTTCGGTCCGTGTCGTATTCCTGATCCCTCATTTCTTCCGGGATATGCTTGTTACGGCAACCAAATCCCTGTACCGGTCGTGCTCTGAGCATCGGAATGATTACAGGTGAACGGGATTCACCCCGGATTACCTATGCGGTATGAAGGGAGAGCACATTTCAAATAGGTGCTCCGTAGCTGCAGCCTTTGGTAGTATGCCACAGATGGCTAACGCAATGTTGCAAAGTAAAGTTGACAGACAGAAGACAGACACCTACGCTGAACATCAACATTCACCGAGTAGTTCGTCCTCAATCGCACTAGTGATTCTGTTGCAAGGGGCATGTCTCGCATCGACCTCATCTAGGAGGGCGTACTACAATAGCGCAGGAGACGGGACGGACCTACTGTATGCATTTGCTCCGTACGTATGATATAGTACTGCATATGCAGTATCTGTACGTTACAAGGGGGCGTGGAGTCTGCCATACCAGGTACTCCGTACGTATCTAGTACCCTGACTTGTCTACACTTGGTGAGTATGCCATGGAGATATTGGGACTGGAACTGGCGGTGAGGCTGATTCATACTTCTAGGATCAGATGTGAACGCGGATCGATTGATTAAGTAGGGTGGATGGTCTCAATCGTTGGAGTGACCATCATCGTCTGGCTCTGGAGGTAGTGGTAGCGGTAGCCTCCTCTTGATTGGGAATCAACTATTCAGTTGAAGTTGCCGGCAGCGTATACAGTTGAGATAATGTTATAGACATGCGTCCGCTATACTTTCACTCAGTCAGGACATGCCCTAGTAGTGCTACTTCTCCCATGGCGAGACTTGCATCTGGGAGGGCAGTGATAGCTGACGATGCGTGCTTCCAGTGCCTAGTAAACCGTAGTCCAGATCGATGACCACATATGTGTCCATTTGGCGGGAGCTGTCTGGAAGACGCAGTCAAGGCTATCCTATCATATCAAGTATACGTGGTGTTGATGAGGTTATTGACATGACTCTTGTTGCGATACTCGGGCTGCTCTACCAACGTTACTGGAGAGAAATATAATATTATCTTGTGTAATTTGTCTGCTCAGGATGGGATTCATCTGTGAGACAGGTGGATAGGCAGCTACTTTGATATCGTTGTCTGGTTCCTTTGGATATTGTGTTGCTGTCGTTGACATGGAGATATATATTGAGCTGGAAGTTATCCTGCTGCGAACCAGCAGTAGCGCCACCACGAACAAAATTAGCAAAACAAATCCCCAGAGTAAGGTCACCTCTCTCCAGCGACGCAGCGGCACTCATCTCTGATAAGTTGATCAGAAATTATACAGAGTATGTCCTCATTGCAAGAAACTCCCAAAGCGGCAATCCGTTGCCTTCATCGGACCGCGCTAACCCGATATGGTATACAACTTCATAAATTTTCTGCTGTCGCAGCATATCACCACCACCCAATCGCTGCATTTGAAATCAGCAGCTACCGCCCTGAAATTGCTCTACTAGTTTCCAGTGAACTATATTACATACATATTCGGGAATAAAAACAGAAAAAGCAATTCAATCATGGCGCAAACCCACGCCGGCTCCAAGAAGCGGCGGCGCGAGCCATTGAACGTCGACACCAAACTAGTCGAGATCTACGAGGACCTCGCGAACGAAAAGGACGAGATCCGTCTGAAGGCCGCGCAGGCTCTGGTGTCGCAGTTCACGCCGGACAAGAAGCCCACCGACGAGCAGATCAAAAAGGCCCTGCAGAGACTTTTCCGCGGCCTCTGCAGCAGCCGCAAGGCTGCGAGAATCGGCTTCTCTATTGCCTTGACTGAGATTCTTACGCAGATTTTTGCGGCGCCGAGGGAGGAAGAGTCGGAGATTACTATCCCGGCTGTTGTGAGTATCTGGGAGTCGCAGTCCAATTCGTCGGGGAGCGAGACGGGCCAGGTAGGTTGGATTGATTATTTGTAGAAACTGCTTTGCTGACCATGTCGCAGGAACAAAGAGATCATCACTTTGGACGGCTGTTTGGAGCGGAAGCTATTGTCAAGTCGTCGATTCTGTTCAAGAGCGATGTGCCACTGGCGGAGTGGACCAAGGTTTTAGATTTGGTGTTTAACCTAGCGAAGAAGAAGCCGTGGATTAGAGAGGAGTGCGGTTGGATTATCTACCGCTGCGTTTTTGATCTTGCTTCGCAAAAGGCTGGTGCTAAGTATGTGCAAGTCGCGCTGGAGCGGCTCTGTGCGAACGATCTCGCTCGTACGCCGGAGGGCGTCTCGATCTGGCTTGCGGCCAAGGAAGCCTACCCTAAGGCTGACTTCCCCAGCAAAGTCTGGAAACATGATGATCCGTTAGATTCACGGGAGAGGAACCAGCTTACCAAGGTTATGAAGGAATCCTCGGCTGCAGACTCTGAGGCGGGAAGCCAGGGGAATAACACCAAGTCCTCTGGAGTGTGGAGCTCCAAGTTGCACTTTGCTTGGGATGCTGTTATCAGGCAGCTTGCTGACGTATCAGTCAAACACTCGTCTCGTCTCAGCTTTGCTGATTTCTGGACGGAAGTCGTTGACAGTAAGTTCTCCGTTTTTGTCGTTTTCCAGATAACCGCATCTAACAAGTCTTTTAGATGGGCTGTTCGCGTCGTCCTCGTCCGAGGAGCGCAAGTACTGGGGCTTCCTCGTCTTTATCAAAGTTATCAATGAATGCCCCCTGCAGCTGGCTTCTCATGTATTCACCAAAAATCTCGTCAGATGCCTGACGAACCAGCTCGCCGTCGAGGACCGGTACCTGCACCGGATGGCCGTCAAGGCCTCCAAATCGATTCAGGCCCGTGTCGCAAAAGACCCCGAGTTCGCCGCGGCCTCCGTCATCGGGCTCATGGGCTCAGCCGGTTCCGTCAACTTCGACCAAGCCACCAAGACGAAAACGATCGAAAAGATCGTTGTCGAAGCAAACGTCGATGCACTGAAGCAGATCGTGCCTTTCTTTGAGAAGCTCATCGCGAGCCCCGGGACAGACGATGCCAAAGCGGCAGCGGCAAGCCGGCAGTCTCTCGCCGGTCTGCTCTTGTCCATCGTGAGATCCCGAGCTTCGGCCAGCGACGAGTCTCAAGCTGTCCTGGAGCAGATTCTGTTCACATTTGTGCGATTCGGCTATTTCATGCCCAAAGACGATGCGGCTGTCCAGCCAGCCTTAACCCAACAGAGCCAGGAGCTTTTCCGAAACCGAATCAGCTCGTGTCTGAACAGTCTCATTGCCAACCCAAAGTATGCGACTACCCTTCCATACGCTGTTGTGCGGAAGATCCGCGACGCCGCCAAGTCGGAGCAGTATGGCAAGTTTATTATCAACATGGACGAGACTCTGCGTGACTCGGTCAAGACTGCTTTCAAGTCTTTGAAGAAGCTGTCCAGCATGGTGAGTATTCTGAGCTTTTTCTGCAAAAGTTTTCTCTCACTAACTCGGAACAGGAAAAGAATGAGGTCTCGGGCGTTGAGGCGTTCAAGCTTCTGTATTCGATGACGATCCTACAAGTGTACAACGGTGATGCCGATGCGGTGTCCATGCTTGACGAGCTCGATTTCTGCTACACCAAGTTCTTGGGCGACAAGAAATCAAAAGACGACGAAGCATCCGATGCTTCTGATGCGCTGGTGGAAATCCTTCTCAGTTTCGCATCCAAGCAGTCGCAGCTCTTCCGCCGTATGAGTGAGCAGGTATTCGGTGCTTTTGCCGACAAGGTCACCGAGAACGGCCTGGAGTCCCTTGTATCTGTATGTCCAGGCCTCTTGACATCTAAGTCCCAGTGCTAACAAAGATATCAGATTCTGGAGGCCAAGGAAAGTCTTGCTGGTCAGCAGGAAATGTTTGAGCAGCAGGATGACGAAGAGGACGAAGAGATGATGGACGTCGACGAAGACGACAGTGACGTCGAAGTCATTGAGGCAGAGAACTCGGACGAGAACTCAGACGAGGACGAGGACGACGAAGCCGCATCTGACGAAGGCGAAAACGAGGAAGAGATGGCCGCCTTCGAAGCCAAGCTCGCCCAAGCCCTCGGCACGCACCGCGCCGACCAAGACCTCAACGAGCAGTCCGAGGACTCCGACGCGGACATGAACGACGACGAGATGGAGCAGATCGATGAGCAGCTGATCAAGGTGTTCCGCGCGCGCCGGGACGCCCTCGGCCAGAAGAAAGACAAGAAGGACGCCAGGGAGAACATGGTCAACTTCAAGAACCGCGTCCTCGACCTGCTGGAGATCTACGTCAAGAAATGCCACTCGAAGGTCTTTGCGCTCGACCTCCTTCTCCCGCTTCTGCGTCTCACGCGCAAGTCGACCGTCAAGCAGCTCGCCAACAAGGCGAACAGCGTGCTCCGCGAGTATACCAAGTTGTGCAAGGGCAACGCGCTTCCTTCGCTGGACTCTGCCGAGCCGGTGTGGGAACTGTTGAAGTCCATCCACGCCGAGGCGATGCATAGTGGTCCGCCCACGCATGCTTCGGCCTGCAGCCAGGCGAGCCTGTTGGTGGTCAAGGTGCTGGTGGCGCACGACAAGAACGCCATTGCGGAAGTGGTGGATGTGTATGCGGCTACGCGCAAGGAGCAGCTTCTCAGCAAGAAGTGCCATGTCCAGCCGCAGTTTTTCTCCGACTGGAACAACTGGTGTGTGTCTGCCAGCAAGCAGATGAAGAATTAGCTACCTAGATACCTCCATAGACATAGTGTACAGTACACATGATGCAAAATACTTGATTTGTGAATTGTGCTCAAAATCCTTTAATATACCGGTGCTGCGTCGTCTCCTCCAACACCTCCAGCTTCATCCCCACCTCAACAACCCCCTCACTCCGCGGCGCACTCAACATCCCAAAGCAAGGCTTATACTTCATCCCCTCATCCACCCGGCGATACGTCATCAGCGTATCCCACGGCTCCCGCTTATGCTTCTCCGCCGTATCGGGATCAACATTCGGCACCTGGCAGCGCGCACAGCGCGCCACGACATCCAAGTCCAGCGGCTCCCGCCCACAGCCACTAATCCGGACCGTCTTCCACGAATCCTCCGCCCAAGGCACCGTGCCCCGGACGATGATATTCGGCCGGAACCGCTCAACGGTAATCGGCTCCGCGCCGTTCCGCCGGAGCCGCTGGTTGAGGTCCGCCAGGGACGCCTCGGAGGCAATCAGCACGGGATGCACGTCGGGGAAGTAGGTGCTCTGCTGCCGGCCCAGCAGGCGCGGGTCGCCGTTGCCCTGCAGGATGCGCGGCGTGGGGCCCTTGTACACGAGACAGACATCGCGCTGCAGGAACCTGGTGAACGGTGCGTTGACGGTCTCCCCGTACACGTGCCCGTCTGTCAAGGTGTCCCAGATCTTGACCTGGGAGAGGGTCGTGTGCGCCGCTAGCCAGGCGGCGTCGGGGCGGGCGGGGATTTGAATCTTTTCTGGGGACCCGGTGATGCTGAGCAGGAGGGAGGTGCCGTCCTCGCTGAGAGCGGTGTTGATCAGTGTCATTTGGGGGATTTGGCGGATGGTGATGAACTCCTTGGTCTTTGCGTCTACGAACATCCATTGCCGGTCGAGGTCTAGGCCGTGCAGGCGCAGTGTGGTTTTGGAGAGTTCAAACCCGCGGCATGACTTGATGGGGTAGACGCGTAGAGAGACGATCTCGCTGCTCGTCTCTTTTTGTAGCCTGAGGGCTTGCAGCAGGCTGAATTTGTTGGTTCTCGCCCAGTTTATGACTCTTGGGGAGAGGACCACGAGGAGCAGTCCGAGAGCGGCTACTGGGAGAACTGGAGAGGAGAAGTCCATCACTTCAACTGTTTTATGTCAGTGAGTCAGGCACTTCAAGGTTCTTCCAACAATGTTGTTATGTTGCGCATAAATATCTAGATTTGCATGTATTGATAAGCAAATATTTGTATTCTGCCGGGATCAGCCGCCTTTCATGCGCTCTCCTTATCGTTGATGTGTCAGGTCATGCTTGGCCGTTAACATTGCTGATAATCATATGGAAGCTCTATCGTGTTGTTTTTGATCACTACAGTCCTGTAATGGCGGAAACTTAATGACAGGACCAAATGGTGTAAGCATCCTTGGATGAGCTCGAGAATTCGGACGGGAATTAAAACCTCGGCTGATTTACCGAAGATGTGACATCATTAGTAAACTATCAATGATTAGATCAACAAAGATGTGGTCGTCATCTAAGCATCCAAGCTATGCGTATAAGTCATGCAATCATGAATGTACTAATCCCCTATCACCATGCCTTTACATCGTCCTGTCCGCCCAGCATGTAATTAGAGCCTTGATTAATGCAATGGTAACCTCTCTCCCGGTCTGGACAGCGTGATCATTATGGGCACCAGGGACGTGCAAGAATACGACGTTCCGGTCCTGGCCTTGTTTTAAGGCATGCGCCAGACTGGTGTAGAAGATAAATTCGCATAGATAACGTCCGGCGTCTTCCGAGAGCCGGACGTCGGTCCCCGCAGCAAATGACTTCCATACATTGAGGAGTTTGTCGTTCGGTGGATGCGGGTTCCAGGGAGACTGTACAGCTTGCGACAATGGAGTTACCACTTGATCATGTATTTGTTCTGCAATGTCTGAGACAGACAAGGGATCGGCGGATCTCCCCGCCTGCAGCACGGGAGGCAGTTCGAGCTCTCTCCACCGTTTCTCTCCAGCTTCGTAACCCGATCGCCCTTCGATATCCGACATGAGATACGAGTCTCGGTGTGCCTTTGTCTCGACGGAATAGTAATGTCTCGTTGCTGCTATGCCCATGTGGAGCACGATATCTGGTCGTCGACCGCCGTGTGCCTTGGCATAATCATCGATTATGGAAGGCACGGTTGATTGGACGGTGGAATAAGCGACGGGGATAGGGTTCGGATGGACATGGATGAATACTCGKTGAGTCGTAGTGGGTCCCTCCGGGGATGCGGATGAGCCTTGTGGAACCGTAAAGGTGAACGAAGGAGGAAGGGATGAGGCGATCAGGTACGAGGCATTGACAAGATTAGTCTTAAAAGGCTAGTGGTCAAGTTAGTATGAGCTGGCACTTGTGACAAAAGGGTGGAGTGAGAGGGAAAATAAGCTATCGGCAGAAACTTACACCAAACCCAGTGACAAGAACTGTGATTTCATCCGAGTCCCCAGAAGATAGTGAAGGACGCCTCGCAAGTTGAGTGTGGATGGATGGGACTGCTGGTCCGCAGTCACCCATGATGATAACAGATAGTGCTCACTGCTAATGATGGAACGGAGATCACGATGTGCCAACTAAGACACTTAAAAGTGTTTTATTCTTCTGGCGCAAAATAGCATTCAGAGCTTCAGTCCAACCCCATGAGAGCAGCATGGATATATGATTATTGGCTCTCTCGAGAGGGGACATCCTCCGAGGTCGTATGCACCACTTGGAGCTGGTCCTTATCTCCTCTCTTCCTCCGGGGACCCCGCATCCCTTACTAAACCAATGTGGGTCTTGGCATCACGAGATCCCTTCCCACTAGTTGCCATGTTCTGGCCTGAGGCCTGAATCTGTTCCTGTCTTGAACAGATACAGATATCTTTGATATCCTGGTTGTTCTTGCAAGGATCAGGGCACGAATTAATGCCTAATTTACGGTGCAATAAGCTATTGCTCTAGTGCTAACATGACTCTCTGTTTACAGAAAATTAACTAACAGCCCTAGTTTCAAAGAGTGAATATCCATTCGTAGAAATGAGCATCAGCATTCACATTACTTGACATATTAGAGTGAATATCAAAATAACTTATATCTCCTTCTTAGCCTTTCTAGTCCATGCTCTCTCTTCTCTAACTTGTGACGCACTCGAATTACGGAATCAGAATAAAGCTCTGTCTGAAACATATTGCGACATACCCTTTAGATATCATTGTACAAACAAGCAAAGGAGATGATTCTTAGGGTCCTTTATCACCTCATTGATCTACAATGCCTTTTACATCCCATAGCAAGTGGTTTTCGGACACGGTCTAAAAGCATGGGAGGAATTTCCGACGGGTACAGCGAGACCTTGCACCTCCTGCAGTCCATCAATGACAATTTGTGGTGCCTCGAGAACCAGGGTGTCCAAACTCACATGCACTAGTATAGAGAGAAACAAAAACCATGGAGATGCCAGTTACTCAAATATCTCGTCCAAAGCCACCCCGAGTGTCTCCTCAACAAGGTCGCCGACACGGATCTCGACGAAATAGGCAAGCCTGCGAACGACGACACGTTCAACATGGGACCACAACCCACATTGGCCAGGTCTCCATCCAACACAAGATCATACCCTCAAGCCTCCAAGCGGAGTTGGAGGCGGCGGACGCCGAGTTCACAGAGACTAAGGCCAACATTTCGGAAGTCGTTCGCAAGTTACATAAGCTCCCTAGAGAGAGGGACAACAAAGTGGAAAAATCGATGCCTTCCATATGGGAACCATGACTGCCGGAGCCAAACCCCAGTGCAACACAAGACACCTTCTGACAACAAGGTTACCGAAAAATCAGTCACTGAACGTATCCATGCTATCAAAACAGCAATCATAGCTGTTACCGGAGAGATGAATACAGGAGAAGACAAGATACGCGATTGAATCGGTTCAATTGATCATATACAGCTTCAAAAGCTTACAACTACTATCGACACTATACAAAGTAGTGGAAACACCAAAACGACAACAAAAATGGCCAAGAGAAACCGCGAGGCTGGTAATGCAAAGGGAAAAGGGAAGCAGAGGGCTAACCCGGCAAGTATTATCCTCATTCGCCTCCCAGAATTGGATGACAAGGAAAGCCAATTTGATTTTGGAGATATCTCTAGCACTATATGGTTTGTCTCAGTGGACGCAGAAATACTATCTACCAACCGGCATCGGTTCCCTCTTAGGTAGGAATTACAAGCGAAACCCTGGTCTGCCAGGAGAATCTATCAACTTAGATTTGGAGGAAAAGACAGTTAATATTATGTGTTTCTCTTCATCCTAAGACCCTCGCAAGCACCTAAGTTAAGCGCCTGCCCTGCCTAGCTCTGTGGTATGGCACGAAGTGGGCAATGCCGTCTAGGGCTGGACCACAGATCCTGGATTCCGAGATAATGCAGGTTCCCAAACAGGTAAATAATTTTGGTCGCATGATATCATTCTATCTGCAGGAGGATGGAATGTGGCTTATATGTATCTAGAACGTAACAGGCTCCGATTAACTTCCTAGAGATTGGTGCTGTTACACGCAAGTCTCAGCAAGGCCACGGCAACATGTATGCACCATAGTATGATAGGCTATGTATCAGTCAGTGAAGTGAGTGAATCTTCATTGAGTCCAAAGACTGCTTTCCAACCTCAGGAGATCGATTTATAGAGAGTCCTGTCATAGATCGGCCACGCATAAGGATTCGCAGTACCGCAATGTTAGAACTAGTGTAAGACAATATATGGGGCTGTAACAAAGGAGACTTGTTATGAGAAGGATGGAAAGAATATGATGATATATAGAGCTATCTAGGAGAAGAGAAAGAAGTGAGACGAAAGGGAATGTTTTCATCAGAGTTTGGGATAATGATAAATATAAGCTATAGATATACCTCTTCAAAAAATATAGTTTTTTAAGAGGTGAGGCAAGAGGTCTAACCTCAAGCTACATCAAAGGCGAGACCACGAGATGTCAACTGAGACG